GAGGGAGGGGCTGATTTGAATGAGTTCTAACCTGGATATTTGAAGAGAAATGGACATGGAAAGCACTGAATTATTAATTCTGACACCTGTGTGACTGAGACAAAGTTGTTTAATCTGTCTGGACCTTAGTTCCTCATCTATAAAATGAAAGCATTAGATCAGTTGACCTCTGAGGTCCCTTCCCCTCTCACTCTAAGATCCTATGTGGATCTCTGATCTTTAGAACGAATGAAAAAGACCTTTCTTTCAGGATCGACAAAATCCCTCTGAAGTCATTCTTACTACCTCCCTGCTGACGAGGAACAAAGACATTTATTTTCACTCTGGGAAAAATGAGGGCACAGAGAGACCACATGGCCCAACCAGACAGAGCACAGGCTGTTGAAGTAAGGGAGGTGAGTTCTAACCTGAGCAGAACCTGAGCTGTGTGACCTTGATCAAGCATTCAATTTCTCTTTTGCTCAGTTTCTTCACTAGTCAAACAGCAATAATATCTCATGTTCTCCTAAACCCAGAGGGCCATTGTCCTGATCAAATAAGGTAACAAATATAAAAGTCTTTTGCATATGTTAAAAGCATTTGGTGACCCACTGGTCAATGCCCACTAGGCATTATTCAATCCTGAGTGAGAGTTCTAGCCAGCAGGAGCTCAAATGTCCTGCCTCTGTGTTTAAGAGCCTAGAATAGGAGAAGAGACCTTCAGAGGTGGAAGGGGTCTCCTATATCATCTCATTTATTCTCCTTTTATTGTTGAGGAACCTAAGGGCCAGAGAAATGAAACGATTTGTCCAGAGCCACACAAAATATTAACATGAGTAGGATTTGAATCCAAGTTTCCTGACTCCTGGTATGATTTCTAGTATATCGTTATCTCGTAGTTAGGGATTAATATATACACAACGAAGTCGATTAAAAAAAAAAGTGAAAGCTAAGACAAAACTATTTCAAGGTCAACAAATCATGCATTGATGAATGGATTTTCACCTAATGTAAACTTGAAAAACTGAGAACACCGTGTAAATTACTGCCCCCTGATTACACATGGGTAGCTTGTCCTTCTCTGCCCGTTTCATCTATCATTGACATCTCATTTACAGGTACAGAGCAAGGGAAGGAGAAGGTGAAGTTCAATTCATAACTTGAAGCTACCTACAGTGAACCTCAGAGTTTAAATTGGGCAACCCAAGAGGTCATCAAGTCTGAACAAGAGGCCCTTCTGTCATAAGATTCTTCCATAATCCTTCAGATGCATGAAAAACCCTTCTGAATTATTTGGGCACTTTTCTGTACTGCTGAGAACTACAAGAAAAATCCTTGCTGATATTCAGTGTTTCTATAATACAGTCCTTGCATTGTTTTTTGCTGAGCTATATACTTTGCAAAATAATTTACACAAGTATTAGTAACAATTGTAAACAATTGGAGTTTCTCTGACAACTTAACAGAGAATGAATGCACTAAATCCAGGCCTCCAGAGATGCACTTCAGAGATTTTCTCCAGTTTGGTGGTCATTCATGGCACTGAATTAAAGCTATCCCCAATCCAGAAAGAGCTGCCTTGGGACATTTTACCTCCCCTAGGTCTTTAAGCAAAGACTAAATGATGACTGGCCAGAGATGTTGAATAATCAAGAACTGACCTCAGAGAGCACTGTCCCAAAATATTCCCTGTAAGAAATCATGAGGAAAATGGTAGCATATGGGGTGTTAGAAAGGGCAGCGGTCTTAGAATGGAAAAGGCTGGGCTCAAACCTCAACTCAGTCCCTTATTAGCTATGTCATAATATGTGATTCACTTTACTTCCTGGAGCCCTGATTTTCTCATCTGTAAAGCAGGAATAATAATACTTTCATGACCTACCTCACAGGGTTGTTTGTAAGGCTCAGAAGGAATAGTGTTTATATAAAGCACTCTATAATGTCATGAAAATGTAAGCTATCATTATCATTATTATGATTAAATCTAGGCCAGTTTTTGGTCCCAGTTCTGCCAAAGGTGACAGTGGGAGTAGGAAATAGTTGAAGATAGGGGCACCAAACCCAGAGACACTGAAGGAGCTAGTTGATGAGAGAGAAGAAAGTGCCCATCCCCATCAAGTCTTATCATAATAATGGAGCAAATATTGCTAAGAGAAAACATCTGTCAATTTGAGGGTAATGTGGCTGTGCATAGCAGGGGTTTATAAAGAACCAGCCATGCTGGACGAAAGCAGATTGCTTTTTGGATAAAAATAGGCAATTAGTAGAGCTTATGAAAGGAGTGAAATGGTAATGATGTATCTCAATTTCAGTAATAGTGCTACTCACCAAATTAATTTAAATGGCTTGGCCTTGAGCCCACAGGTAGGAAATGAACTGAAACTTCTTAGAGCGGACATAATGATTGAAAACAGGCACCTGTGATGAGCCATAGGCTGTGTGGTGGGCTCAGGCCCCATTTACTGTTTTCATTAATACTGTGGCAGATGGAATGAACATCAATGTTAATTAAGTCTGAAGATGTCAAAGTAAGAGGAATAGCAAAAACAAATATTGAGTTTGCAAGGATGCCCAACTCAGTGTTTACACATGGTAGGAACTCAATACGTATTTGTTCAATTTATTAGGATTCTTTGCTAAGTGTTCGGGTAGTCCCTGCCCAACACCCTTATTTAGGCCTGTCTCTTGCCTGGACTATTACAATGGCCTCATTGGTCTCCTTGCCTCCAGTCTCTCCTCCTATCTCATCAGAGAGGCTGCGGTGCAATAGTTAGAGTCCGGGGTTCAAATGCTACCTCTGATACTTTGTACCTGGGAGGCCATAGGCAAGTCGCAAGGTCTCTGACCGTCAGTTTCTTCATCTGGAAAATGAAACGCTGAGTCAGATGGCCTCTGAGGTCCTTTCCAGCTCTAAATCAGTGAGCCTATGATCTGTTGTCTATATGGCTGCCAAATTAACTACCCAAGTGCAGGCCTGACCATCCCACTGCCTGCTTCTCGGATACATCTACAAGCTCCTTTGTTTGGCATTCAGAGTCCATCACGATCTGGCTGCACGCTTCACGTTTCTCATTGCTCTACCTTGGTTTCCAGCCAATTGGGCTTACGTGAAATTCCCAAGTCCAGGACACTGGACTTCTCCTCTCTGGGCCTGCTGCAAAGTTTGGTGGCCTGAGGATCGAAAAGAAGGCTGGAAACCTCTGCAGAAGTCCCAGTAGCTGAGCTCTTGAGAAAATGCTCCCCATATAAAGTCTTGCCAGTTTAGTGCAGAATATTTACAGTGTTACAGTGACCTCATTATTCATGGGCTCAGACGAGGACAGGGAAGGGAACTTAAGACTTCCTGGCATTTGGGAAATTGCACAGTGCTTCTGGTGCTCCCAAACGCTTTGGCACTGAAAAAAAATCCAGCTTTTTAACACCGCTATTTTCTGGGTGATGTTCTGTGGCTACATATCATGGGATGTCATGATCACAAAAGGACTAAAATTGGAAACAACTTAAAGGGCAGTGGAAAAACAGATGGTGGGTATAAGTAGCTATCATACATTATCTGGGACTAACTACACAGAAAGAGTTGAGTAAAATATATTATTGAGCACATGTGAATAGAAAAGATGGGCCAGCCATATAGGAAGAATAAAGGACAATAAAGGCATGCCAAGTAGTAAATTAGTCTTCTCAAGTTATAAACAGAACTAGACATGCACATCCCATGAAGGGATTCATGGGTAAAATTTGGATGAGAATTTTAGAAAAAAGAAGGGACATTGTATGAACAAAGGCTTCATCATCTATCAATCAATCAACATTAAGTACCTACTATGCTAAGTACTGGGGATACAAAAAGAGGCAAAAGATAGTCCCTGCCCTCAGGGACCCTACAATCTAGCCAGTCAGCCAGCTGATAGAACCACCGTACTTAAGACCCGTAATAAGTGCTGGGGGAAAGGAGATAGAAAGCCTTGACTGAGTCAGCCATTAGAACAAGTACATTCCCAAGACCACTACCATCTAAGAGGAGGGAAATCATTCTCAAATGTGGAAACTGCAAAGTTAAAGGATGAAGGATCAGCTTTTGTCACAGGCTACAGGAGGAGATAAGCAGCAGGAAGGGTACTGACAAGCTGAACCCTGATCTAGGAGGGGAGCTGAAGGGGTGGGAGCCTGGAAACAATTTCTATATGACAGCCAGTTAAAGGGGTTGGTGATTTTTAACCTGGAGAAGACCCAGAGAAGTTAATAATAGCTTTCTTTAAGTATCTGAAGGGCTGGCATGTGGAAGGAGGGATTCAGTTTGTCCTCTTTGGCTTCAGGGGACAGACCCAGGAGCAATGGATGGATGTTGAAAAAACATTTCTGAGTAAAGCTCTTCAAGAGTGAAATGGGTTACCCCAGGAGGCAACAGAGATCATCAAGCAGAGACTGACCATGACTATTTCTCAGTAATATTGTAGAGGAGACGCTGAGGTAATAAACATTGGAATAGGCAACCTCTGGGGTCTCTCTCAAGACACCAAGACGTGGGTTGTATTCAGGGAAATACTCAGGGAAAGGAAAAGGAAAAGCAGGGAATATTTGCCAATTTGCACAATTTGGGTTCTTTGACTATTAATTTTAGTTGAATATGTGTCAGGTGCTTCCCAGGAATAGCCTTTCCACCAGAAGGGAAAGGCAACTTTCTGTAACTTGAAACATAAGCTGCATTCAGAAACCAGTCACCCACGTTGTGGTGGCATCTGTTACCGACATGCTACCGTGGCCACAATGAATTTTGCCTTTGTCTAAAATAAGGGAGCAAAGACTGAGAACTGTTAAAGACATCAGTGGCAGCCTCGTTGTCAAACAGATAGCCTCCCCAGGTCACCCACTTGGTAAACTGGCTGAGAGCCCCAGGACCTTCACATGGAGAGTGTGGTTGCTCCCAGAACAGGTAGATCTGTGAGAAGGGGACCTTAAGGTAAAAGGGAAATAGTTTTCCTGTGAGGATTCTCCATATCCTAGTTTAACAGATCACATACCTGAAATGCCAAAGCCGATGATGAGTGCAATTGCTCCCGCCAGAATTATTATGATGCTAATAATGCTGTAGAAAACAAAACAGAGAAATAAGGGGTTATTTGATGGACTTTCATGATCCCAAATGATAGACCTCTTTGCAGCTTGGATACACGTCATAGACAGTTAGAAAGTGACACTCCACAAAGGAATAAAAGGTGGGTTTACCACGGCTTGGGGCTCAGATGGGGCCTTTTCTCTCCCCAGAGAACTCCAATAATGAAACCCATGTGTCAGGACACCAGCATCCACCCCACTGTTCTGTTTGTCTGTTTGTCATGGTTAGCTTTGACTTGTGCAGAGTGAAAAGACCAAGGCCAAAGCTGGAAATGGGGGTGGCACTGTTTGGGGGAGGTTTGCCCGAGCAGTGCCACCTGCCCTAATGCATCCTTATCCAACGTCCTCAGTCATACACCTTTGTTGCTGGTGATTCAAACACTCCCTACACCCACATCAAGTTTATTAAATAGCACTAGAACAACAGAAAAGCACAAGGAGTCAAGGAATGATCCTGTAGAGAGAAGGAAGCACCTTGAGCCCTGAATGGTCTCTTTGTCTACAGCTCCCTTTGGCTCAGGTGCCTGCCCACCCCAGATAAACAACAGACCTCAAAGACAGAGACTGAGTGTATAGCTGGCTCCCTTGGGGGTCAGTGATCACCAGGAATGTGGGGACTGCCTTCAGCACAGTTACTGATATGGAGGCAGCAGCTGGAAAAATGAAACCAACATCTGCACATTTCCCAGAAGAGTCAAAACCATCCCACTCACCCTCCTCCTCCTCTCTGTCCCCAGAGCAACTTTAAAACTCATTAGTCTAAGTGTGTGTGAACTGCTGGTCCAAATGATGCGAGGATCGGGAGGATGGCCTCACTTCGGATGCTCTCTCGCTGGCCTGAAGCACACTTGTCCTTTGGCTTTGTATCATAGACTGTGAGAACTGAAAGGGACCTTGCCCTACATAAGATCATAGGCTTTAGAATCAGAAGAAACCTTGGAGTGGGGGATTATGGGGGAGTAGCTATTCTGACCTGCTCAGTTTACAGATCAGGAAACCGAGACCCAAGTAACTTGCTCAAGGTTACACAGCTACTTGGTGGCAGAAAGAACCAGGACTAGGGCCCGGCAGTTTGCTATTTCTTTTTAAATGTTGTCACAAAATCAGACCTTGAACAGGGGCCCTCCTTCAGAAACAAAGAAGCCATGCCACGGAAGATCAGCTGACGGTCCCACAGAATCTCGTCTGTTGCGGGCTTTCACGGAGACCTGTCTCCCTCCAACCCTCACTATTTCCCATTGGTGAACTTTCTTTCTCTCCCTAGTCCCTCCGTGCCCCGTTCCGTTCACAGAGATAAACGACTTCGTGGGAGCTGCCGCCCACACAATTCAATTCAATTCAACAAGTCCTCTTGGAACTCCTTTATGCAGGGCATCCCGTCAATCTTTGGAGATACAAAGACAAGAAGACTGCTCCTGACCTCGACGAACTTAGATTCTATTGGGGGAGTACGACGTGTAGACAGACAAGTAAATATACAAAGTTAATAACAGGTTTGGCGGGGAGGGAAAAGGGTAACATTGTCTTTGTCCTTTGAATCTTGCTCCTCTCCTACCTGTCTTCCCATGATGCCATAGTTGGATTGATTTATAAGGTTGCTTCCAAAGAACCTAAGCAAGGGGAAAGGGGGAACACAAATGAATTGGAGTCAATTACAAAAAACAAAAAAAGCAAAAAACAAAAACTGCAAGTGACTATAGGATGGTGTGTGTTAGTGTTTTCATTTAGGAAAGCTAGTTTAATCTACTGGTGTGATTTTGTTAAATTGGACTCCTTCTCCCAGAGGGAAGAGAGGAAAGTGATAAATTGATTTCGGAATCTGGCACTTAAAGTTTACAAACTGCATATAGGTCATTGGACTCATGTTCTCAGTCTGGCCAGCTAATGATTCCTGCTAAATTTGTGCAGTAAAGAAAATACTGAATTTTATAGACCAAGATAAATGTCTTTATATACAGGAAACTAAGGAATGCCCAAATTCTGTTTTTTCTGTTTTTTCCAATTTGGTTTGATTAGCTTGAATTCTTTTATACGTATACTTGTATTAAGTTTGGATTTGGTGGATTGCAAATTGTAATTGGAAGGAAGTTGGGTTTTGATATGATTTTAATATGATCCATTTTATAGTGTGGGAGGGGAAAGCAGGAACTGGCCTTCCCTCTGGGCATGAAGGAACTAAGGCAATAAAGCAGCAGGATACAGGATGGCCTCAATCTTCTGAGTCTCCAGGATCTGCACCTCACTGGGTAGGAAAGTTGTGTCCTCAGGAAGGAATATGATCTTGCAGACTCCTAGTTCCTGTTAGGAGAGAAATGAGAACAACACTGGGGGGAGTGGTAGGGGAAGGAAGAGGCATATTAATGATTCCTCCCTTCTGGCTGATTTTCTAGCAGTTTGATGTTAATTCTCTCAAGTTATTGTCGGTGAGGCCCAGCCAGGGCCATATCACTTGAAAATCACTTTGAAGTCTTGGATTGAACAGTGGCAACTCTAATGAACAAAAGACACTTGGGGGAAGTTTGTGATATAACTAGGATATGGATTTCTATTTTATCTATAATAGATAATGGGGCTAAGTCTAAAGATGAGAGGGCTGAATGTGTTTATAAACAGCATGGAAGGACCCAATAAATAGAAAGAAAGAGGGAATGATGTTTAGAATCAATGATATCAGTAGAGAATTGGCCTTCGTAAGGAGAACCATTCTATCCACTGAGACTGGAGCAAAGATGTAGAAAGACTTCAGGGGAGGCAGAAAGACTAGGCACACCCACTGGGTAGATTATGGTAAGGAGTCTATCAGGAAGGAATGAAAGCATGGCTCTGCCGTGATGGAGGGGGTGGTCATTTCAAACATTTATTGGGTTTGCATGGTTTGAAAAGTGCTGTGCTGGACCCTAGGGATGATACAGAGATAGAGGCATCTGTCATACAGAGGTGAGAACACTGGATTCTGGGCTGAAAGATCTGGATTGAAGTCTCTGTCTCTGCTCCTTACTAACAGTATGACTACAGGCAGTTGCACTTCTTGGCCTTCAGATTCCTTTTCTCTAAAATTATGATAATACTGACCTTCTCTTAGGGTTGTTGTGAAGGCTTATTGTGAGAGGATCTCACACATGTATGGTACTTTAAGGTTTACAAGGCATTTTACATACATTACTTCATTTTATCCTAACAATAACCCTGTGAGGTAAATGCTATTATCACCTCCATCTTTGCACATGGGGAAAGTGAGGTTCAGAAAAATTAAGCAATTTGCCTAGAAACACACAGCTACTGAAATGCTAGAGACGGAATTTTATTTCCTGACTGGGAGTTCAGTATTCTGAAGTTAAATGAGATAACACATCTAAAATGCTCTGTAAGTATTAAGACACTCTATAGATGCTAGCTATGATAATGGTGATGATGCCACATGCTGATAAATGGGAGGGTTTGCCTTTCAATAATATCTCAAGATCAGCTATATTGTTTTTGTTGTTTTTGTTTAAGCCTTCCTTCCTTCCTTCCCTCCTTCTTTTTTTCCCTCTCTCCTTTTTTTCTTCCTTCTTTCATTTCTTCCCTACCTCCTTTCTTTCTTCCTTCCTTCTTTCTTTCCTTCCTTCCTTTCTTTTTCTTTCTTTCTTTCTTTCTTTCTTTCTTTCTTTCTTTCTTTCTTTCTTTCTTTCTTTCTTTCTTTCTTTCTTTCTTTCTTTCTTCCTCACTTTTCTTTTTGTTTCCCTGGTTGAAGAATTTTTTCAACAGTTGTCATGACCTCCAGTTGCCTAGACTAATGGAACAAGTGGTCCTGAATCACAGGCTGGCAAAAGACCTGCAGCAAAGAGATGCTGCTTAAGTGAGGATGAGGTTCCATTGTGCCAAGTAAAACCACTCCTTCCCACATCGCAATGGCTATTCATTCCCAAAAGGAAGGGATCCTCCTGCTACCTGATGATAGGCTATCTGTAGCAGCCTCCTCCTATCATTTCAGGCCTTGGAGTGTGACAGTATCATAGATCTAAAGTTGAAAGAGACCTCCAAATCACATATGTGTGAACATTTCTACTAGTTAGGCATTGCTTGGCCTAGCCTCTGCAGTTGAAGTCCTTCAACAGAATTTTTTTTCCTCTGTGGACTACCTCAATGGATTACCTCTGCTTAACCACTCATTATCAACCTAAGCATTAGGAGATTGCATCCAAATCTGGGCAGTACTTATGGATCATGAGGAAGTCTGTCTTCACAGACCATGGAATCATCATCCTAACTTTCAAGGAGTCAATGATGCAACTGTGGAGAGATTCTCCAAGATCTTGGGATTTCCTCATTTGAATGGCAGTAGGCATCCTTTCCAATGCAGCTCTGAATGGGGATCCCTGACCAGGAGTGTTCTGAAAAGACCAAGACTATTAATGGTATATTTGGGTAACAGTGCTGAAAATCTTGGCCTTACCCTTAACCCCATCCATAAGGGATTCTGCATTTGGGGTTTTGAAGGCCACCATAATATAAACTTTCTAATTAAGTTTGCAGCTCTCACCTTCAAACCCAGGATGTCCCAAAGATGATGACTCCACTAGTGCCTTCAGCTTATGTCCCAGGTATTCATTTTAGATTTATGGCTTCATGCTCATTTGTGAGGACAGATAATTTATCTAAGAAATAATTCAACATGCCTGCAAGGAGCTCCAGGGGGCTGCACTTTTGTATATTATCAATGAAGGAAGGAACAGAGTGTTTTAGTCTGAATAGCTGGAGTGAGACATCCATTAAGTGCAGTGCCTAAGACCTAAAAGATTCTACCATGCCTTGCTTTCCTCATTTCTCCCAGTTAAAATTTGGAGGCGGCATGGTGCAGTGGAAGAAACACTTGCTCCGTAGTCAGAAGTCCTAGGTTCATATTCTTTCTATGATAATTACTATCTGTGTGATCTTGGGCAAGTCTCTTAGCCTTCCTGGGTCTCAGTTTCCTCATCTGTAAAATGAGGA